CTTTCCTTACTAGCTATCATCAGTTTATTATAATTTAAATTATTTAAAAGACTATGGCTTAAGCACTGAGATAGACAAAATGACCAGGGAAACAGATCAACAAGCCCCAAAATAGAACCATACAGAAACAGAAACTTGACATATGACAGAGGTAGCATTGAATCAGAGAGAAAAAAAAATGGAATATGCAGTAAATGTTGGGTTGGTAATTGGTAATTGATTGCCAGGAATATGCAATAAATGTTGGGTTGGTAATTGGTTATCCAAGTGGAGAAAATAATTTTAAATTAGATCCTACTTTATTCCATACACATACAACTAGATAAAAAAGCTAATATAACAAGCAAACTTTTAAATATATTTTGGAAGAAAATATAAGCAATGACTTTACAACCACCAATTAGGGAGGAAATTCTTCAGATATGAAAAGCAAAAATCAGCCAGGCATGGTACTGTACTCCTGTGGTTCAAGCAACGTGGGAGAATGAGGCAGGAGTATTCCAAATTTGAAACCAGCTTCAGCATTTTAACGTGGCCCTGACACAAAATAAAAAATAAAAAGGACTGGGGATGTAGCTCAGTAGTAAAGTATCCCTCAGTAGTAAAGTATCAGTACCAGGGGGCAAAATGTGAGTAATGTTAAGCTTCAAAAAAGACCTTTCCTTAGTAGGTCTTAATAAGTAGTAAAATTCCTAATTAAATACTAAGATTTTAATAATACATAATCCAAAATCAAAAAATTGTCCTCACTGTAAAATATATTTCAGTTTTAAATATGTGTCCATATTGTAAATAAATAAAGAGCTATCTCTAGACATAAATTATAAATGTCCTGATTGCCAGTTTAAAAATATAAAATATAAATAAACACACCTGTGGGTAAAGTTTGAAAAGGAACATTAAAAAGAAAGAAAAAAAGCAAAGAAGGAAGAAAGAGGTAAGAAAGAAAGGAGGAAAAAACATAAATATTAAAGTTAGAAAGATTTTGAGTGAAATTTCTTTGAATTTTTAATTTTTATTTTTATTAGCTGTAGATGAACACAATACGTATAAAGGTATTTATTTATTTATTTTTATGTGGTGCTGAAGATCAAACCCAGTGCCTCATGCATGCTGGGCAAGTGCTCTACCACTGAGCTACAACCCCAGCCCTGAAATTTTTATTTTTTAAATCTGACTTAATGACTGGGCTGGGGTTGTGGCTCAGTGACAGAGCACTTGCCTAGCATGTGTGAGGCACTGGGTTTGATTCTCAGCACTGCATACAAATAAATAAAATATAAAGGTCCATCAACAACTAAAAAAATTTTTAAAAAATCTGATTTAATGACTAAAAAAGTTTAAAATAAATGTATTATATATTCCCTGAAAAGTTTTTACAATAGAGATAATATAGCGCACAGATTTTAACAAAAAAGTGCTCTAGAAATGCAAAGTGAGAACTAGTGAAGTCCTTTTATGTCTTCCTCTGAGTTTCCTTTTGTTAAATGATCAGATTAAACAAACAGGCACATGACAAAATGACTTGGGTCAAATCACTATCACCACCCAGTTTCTGAGGGTAATGACTGTCAAAAGTCACCAGGGAGTGATCCATTGCTATCCCTTTAATTAAGGCGGGGCTTTTATAACTCAGTTGTTCCATTTGTGACTCAGATCAATCAAATGAAATTCACCTTTTACGTGGCCTGAATCCTGATAGCCCTGCGCACTTGATAGGTAATTTAATCATGCCTGGTGTAGATGAACACAAACTCAAATTAGCTACTGAAAGAGTTGGGCTTCTCAGAGATAGCTGTGCTTTTCCACTTTTATGCAAGAGCTGAGCTTCACCAACTGGCTAGCTGGAGGTGTTATTAAAAATTTAGTGAAAGAAACAAAGGTGTGCTCTGGTGTCTCTTGTTACCCTTTCTACTGTTACTCCGGCAGACAAAAGGCATAGAGCCTACCTCATGAATAATGTGACATGGAATATTCACAATCTATTTTTAATGGAGTCAAGTAATAACATTAAGACAGACATTTGCAATCTTCAAATTTCATACGGGCAAAAGGCACAGTAATTTGTTTTGATTCTGAAATGGGAATATAAAGATAAATTAATTTCCCAAAAAAAGCCATACAGTTAATCAAAATTAGAATTCCTTATTTATAGCATAAATAGGGAAAATGAAAATGGACCAAGAATTCTAAATGTCATCAGAGAAGAGTGGGAGAGGACAGACACCTAGATTTCAATCAGTTCTACTTAACCCTCAGTGCAATGTCATACTCTTCAAACCAGGTTGAAAATACTCAACCAGTGTGCGTGGTGACTTTTGTGGGAAGGATGTTTTGTCATCCTATTCATTGAGAGCTTTGCCTCCCAGGCAAACAGTTCTCCCCCCCCCCCCCCAGGTACCAAGGATTGAACCCAGGGGCACTTAATCACTGAGCCACATCCCCAGTCCTTTTTTTTTTTTTTTTTTTTTTTTTTGAGATAGAGTCTTGTTAAGTTGCTTAGGGCCTCACTAAGTGACTGAGGCTGGCTTGGAACTTGCAATCCTTCTGTCTCAGCCTCCCCAGCCACTGGGATTACAGGTGTGTGCCACCATCCCTGGCCATCACCTATCAGTTCTGAAAAATAATTATAATCTGCTTTACATAGTAAACAAATTTAAATTTTAAACAAAGTAAAGTACTGTGCAAAGGCCTGGTGTTGGAAAACCAAAGGAGGACAGCCAAGGAACAAGATTTGGAGGGACGGGAGAAAAGCAGCTATCAAAGTCCTGCTGACCTACCAACACAGAATGCCAGTGTGTCTTATTTGTTTTCTTGGTGCTCAACCAATTTCTCTTCCCTTTGAGCTACTGAGAGCACAGCCAGCCTATAGGATCATCTACTGTGTGCCAGGCACTGTTCTGGGGGCTGAAAGTTCAGCAGTAATCAAATAAAGCTCCATAGGACATCATCCTTATAGCTGTATCCCCACCACCTAGAACACTGCCAGGCATACCAGGGTACTTAATCAATATGTATAGAGTAGATTTGAATGGAAATGGGCAATCTGCAGGTAGTCACCAGAGCCATGCAAGCCCTGAATGTCTGGCTGGGAGGTGTTAGGACCCAGGTAGTAGGGATTTAGTTCAGAATTGTATTCATTCTCTAAGGATCCACAGGTGGATAGAGCCACAAACCTGGATCCCCACTGTACTACAACTCATGCATCTTTAAGTTTGGAATTTGCCTTCAGCTTGGCATTTGCTAACCACTCATATTTTTTCTCTTCTCCAGTTTCCACAGAATCAAAGTAGTCAGAATTGGATTGGGATGACAGGACCATATCCAGATTTTATAGTCAAGAAAACTAGTATCAGGGAAGTCAAAGAATTTGTCTGAGTCACATGATGTGTCTGTGCTAGAACCTCAACTAAGATTCAGACCTCCAGACCAAAGGCTTGTGATTTCTTTATTTATCTAGGAATCTTTTGGCCCCACTAAAAAAAATTAATAATACATTTAAATTCTCAGAGGAAAGCTTATGTACCTGTGGGACCACTGGAACTCTACAAGGTAGGATCTTAGTTTTATATACCTCCCAGTCTTTCTGATAAGAATGAAGGGGCTGGGATGTGGCTCAGTGTTAGGGCACACATGAGGCAACAGTTTTGATATTCAGCACACACACACACAAAAAAAAATCAAGAAGGAAGTATCTGGGGGAGGGGAATACACACACACACACACACACACACACATCAAAGCAATAGAATTTTACTCTTTGTACATTGATTTCTCCTTCACTTTTATACTCCACTGTAGTTTCCTTTGGTGCCAGTTTCCCTCACAGAAAAAAAGCAAAAGTCTTTCTCAAATTCCCTGCCTAAATAAAAGGCAATCTGGTAATAGTCTTAATCTTTTATTAACTTAATACATCACTCTAATAAATATGTAATAACAAACATAATGCACTCCCAAAGATCTAAAATCATTTACAAACTTCATCAAAGTAAAAATATCGCCTTTCCCCCCATATGGTACACATGGAAGGCCAAAGAGTTGAAGACAGAGGGCCTTCAACCCTATGTGCCTACAAGCTCAGACATCTTAAAAATATCAGCTTAACAATAAAAACTGAGTATACACATGAATCTTTGAAATAACTCTTCAGCTACTTTTTATACTTGATAAAAATCCAAAAGGATCAAAAAGGAAGGTTCAAGATTCTGTGTTCTCGTCTCAGCATTCCCTTGGAAGGGAAAAAAAGCACAGACCCCAGCCACCTGGAGGTACAAATGTTAGCTTTTGCGGGGCAGAGGCAGGAGCTATGATTTTAATCTCTGGCCCTTTAGTACCTAGCATAGTAACTGGTACCTTGGTAACCAAAGGTTAATAAATATTTGCTGAATGAATAAATGACATCTTGTTCACTGCTTCACGTTTTTAACCTCTGATGAGGTCTTCACAGGCCTCCTGCAGAAAGGACCTCTGATCCTCCTCTCATCACCAAGTCTATTTTTCTGTTTCTTCCTGGGGCAGGCTTGATGGTGCATCTGGTGATTTCAAAAGAATTAAGATCCTTCCCCAAATCAGTTTCTGAACCACTCTTCAAGGAGGAGAAATGATTCCTCTGAGATTTACAGGCAGCACCCAACAAAAAGGGGTCAACAAACTTTCCAGAAGGAAACAAAACAACAACAGCAACAACAAAAACACTCACTCTTCTTTCTAGCTAAAACTATAGCATGTGTCCACTTGTAAATGGGGGCTCCTTCTCTTCCACATAAGTATCTAGGGGAATTCAGGAAGAGGGACAACACCTGAAGAAATTTCTTGTCTGTGGAACAGGGTAGAAATGAGAAGAACTGTGGAGTCCAAGATTTTATCTGATCCCCACTTGACTTCACATCTTCAGGTGTAGAGTAGCCTAAAGTCCAGCGAGTTGCTGTGGTTCCCACTCGGCAAAGAACTTTAAAAAGGTAACTTGTTCCCTCTGGCAGCTACAGAAAGTAAGGTGAAGGGGATTCACCTTGGTGGGATCTGCAGACTGGACTGGGGAGCCTGAGAAATTAGAGAGGCTAGAGGCAAGCAGGGAAGCCATCCTCCGTAGTGTCGTGTAGCTGCTGCTTGCAGCCAGTGAGGGTGCTCATTTGAGCCCATGCTGTGTCTCTCGGTGCCTCCGGAGATCCACCTTCCTCTGGAAGCCCTTCCCACACAGGTCACAGCCAAAGGGTTTGAAGCCTGTGTGTTTGCGGCTGTGGGTGATGAGGTTGGAGCTCTGGCTGAATGCCTTGCCACACACCTGGCACTTGTGGGGCTTCTCACCTGCGGGAAAGGAAGGGGGAGGGGAGAAAGTATGAGTTTATGACAAAGCTAGAGGAGATCCACTGTGACCCACATGCTCTTGGCAGCAGCTGGCTGCACCACAGTCTAAGACCTTCAAGCAACTCAAAGAGGGATGTGTTGCAACATGAACTGACTCCCAGCCTGCAATGTGGTCCCGGGAAGTCATGGGTACACCAGGTGGAAGGGAGACTTTCTGAGTGGGGGTTCCCAGCCAGAGGCCTCAAACCGTTTCCTGCTAAACGGAAACAGAGCAAAGGCCACGTGCCCTCCCCAGCTGAATCCACCTCGGAGGACTCCCCTGACTTTTAGAAGCAGAGAGCACCCAGAACAGATGTTCAACAGGAGGTGGGAGGAGCTGTCCTACAAACCGTGTGACTTGGCTCTAATTCAGAGGAAGTTTTCAAATCTGAGTTTCCAAGTGGGTGTTGGTTTTGTATACCAGAGAGCCTGTCTTCTTTCTTGATCTTGCAGGACCACAGAATGTATCTGAGGCATAGACATTTCTCAAAGTCTTATTTTAAAAGTCCACATTTGAGCTCCAAGGTATTTATTTTCTTTTCTTCTCATTTCTTCCAGTACTGGCTATTGAACTGAGGGGTACTTTGCCACTGAAATATATCCCCAATCCTTTCTACTTTTGAGACAGGGTCTCGCTACGTTGCTGAGGCTGGCCTTAAACTTGTGATTCTCCAACCTCAGTGTTCCAAGTCACTGGGATTATAGGCATGTGCTACCATGCCCAGCCACAAAGTATTTCTTAAAGTAGCTAGTCTTTTTCTGCCTGGATTTTACTTTCTTTTTATGAGACTAATCATAGTATTCTACTGTATTCTATTCTGTTTGGTACTGAGGATTGAATGTAGGGGTGCTTAACCATGGAGCCCTTTAAAATTTTTTTAAATTTTTTTTATTTTTGAGACAGGTTCTCGGTAAACTGCTTAGAGCCTCACTAAATTGCTGAGGCTGGCCTTGAACTTGCAATTTTCCTGTCTCAGCCTCCCAAGTAGCTGAAATTATAGGCACATGCCACCATGCCTGGGAAGATTCTTTATATGACAGCAACTCTTTACCAAAGATTAATAAATTACTAGACATGAAAAGGTTTTGTCTTTTCCCCATCTCATGTACTATGTGACATTTAGGTAAATGTCATCTATTTTCAAATAGCCCCAGCATAGCATTAATAGTATTGGGGCTAAAAATGCAAACAGATAAAGTTTGATTTTGAGGAACCTTCTTTCCCTCTTGCTATGCTCTCTTCTCTCTTCATGTTTCAGATTTCTTGGATAAGAAATCACCCATCAAAAGTTATCCTATCTCTTTAGGCTCAAACAAATCTGAGAAACCAATTCTAGCTATAATGTAAATGTTTGATAAAGATTTCATGTTTCATTCAGTCAAGATCCTAGTTGCATTTTGATGAGTGTCTTAAATACCTTTACTTATAAAGGAGTGAATTCTACGGAAATTTCAGGCAAATGGGTATGATTAAAGTAAGATTTTTTTCTGAGATTTTGGATAGGAATATCTACACTGTCCAAGAATATTCATAAATATCAACAGTAGCTATTTGGAACACAGTGCCATTTGTTTTAAATGAATATTCATATTCTGCAATAACACTGTCAAAAATTCCAGGTCTAATGTAAATGTCTTGGTGAATTAAAAGAAACATTCCTGGAGCTGTGAATGTGGCTCAGTGGTAGAGTGCTTGCCTAGCATGCATGAGGCTCAGGGGTTCAATTCCCATCACCACAAAAAGAAAAAAATAATGTGTTCCTGGAGGTGAACCCATGAGCTGCTGGCATTAAAACCTTCATCTGGCCAGGCACACATGTGGCATACACATGTAATTCCAGTTATTCAGGAGGCTGAGGCAGGAGCACCTCAAGCTTGAAGCTAGCCTCAGCAACTTAGCAAGGCCCTGTTTAAAAAAAAAAAAAAAAAAAAAAAAAAAAAAAAAAAAAAAACAGGGCCAGAGTTATAGCTCAGGGGAAAATTCAGGACTGGCAGTCAAAATGTTCAATGGTATCATGATTTCTGTAGTCTGATATTGGGTATCATTCAATGTTTCTGAGTTTCTGGATGGTAAGAGCAGCTTTTTCTACTTTATAGGGTGACAGGAAGTATCAAATGAAATGACAGATTTGAAAACACTGAGTAAATTATAAAACGCTACCACAGGTAAGAATATATCACTACTAAGGCATAAAATTGCTGATTTTGTGAAAACAGCCATACGTGAAGAGAAGCTTTCTGTGTCTACCAATCCTCATGACTTTGAAAACAGAATAGGATAAACAGGACAAGAGCACAGATATTTGAGAGGTCACATAGGCCTGAACTTGAGCTCTGGCCCCCTACTTGCTAGCGTGACTTTGAACAGTTTACTTAATCCCTCTGTGCCTCCTTTCCTCATCTCTAAAATGGGGATAAGGAATAGTTTCTATCTCCTGAAGTTGTTGTGAGAATAAGATGAGATAATGCAGTTTAACAGAGCTTAGTAATATTGCCATTGTTTTTTCCTCCTCAAGTAGAATAAGCTCTTGACTCCTAAAAATACAGTAGAAAGGCAACACATGAGTCCCTCCCAGAAAAGCCTCTGTGGGAGCCCTACAGAAAGTCTTCAATCTCTAGGTAAACATTTAGAGCAAAACTCTGAGAGGTCTCTGGGGCTTCATATTTCACCCAGAGCAGGAAGCAGTTGGAGCAGCTGCTAAACTAGAAAAAAAAAAAAAAAAAAAAAAGAAAGAAAGAAAAAAAAAAAAAAAAAAAAAAAAGAAAGAAAGAAAAAAAAAAACCCTACTCTTTCCAAGGATGGAGAACCTGCAATCTGACCTGCTGGTCCTTGAGACACAATCCCAGATCAAGTCCCCTCTGGGAAGAATCACATCTGTGAATGAACCTAGAAGAATCTGTCTCTTTGTTTTCTTTAACATACAGTGATTAGCTCCATCCAGAAAACCTCATCCACCTCTCACTGGGGCTAGAATATCAGAGAAGGTGAGTTATATTGGCCTCTGGGTATCTTCAGCTCACCAGTGTGGATGAAGGTGTGTTTCTTCATATCTGACTTCTGGTGGAACCTCTTGCCACAGTACTGACAGGGGTAAGGCCGAGTGTCTGAGTGAATAAGCAGGTGTGTGGACAGTGTAGATGATCTCTTGAAGCTCTTGCCACAGATCTTACAGTCAAAGCTGCGCTCCTGCAGAGAGAGAGAGATGCAGCACTCCTATTGCAAACACCTAGGCTGCTACCTCCTCACCACTAACCTGACCCTAAAAACTCCAAAGCCAGGGTTCTCCTTCTACATAATCCTCCCTCCCCCCCCTTTACTTCCAGTCCCCATACTCTCCATACTTCTCCTTTAACACCCACCCCTTAACATTTTTATTTCTATCAAAACACTTTTCACCCACAACCCTCCAAATCTCATGGCAAAAACTATCCCCACCCTGAATTTTTGACACCCATTTATACACATTTCTCCACCCTCTTCAACTGGAGGCTTAAACCTCAGTCACTTGAGATGCCTCCACCCCTCAGCCATTGTGGGTGTTGGAGGAGACAGGCTGATACTCTAAGTTAACAAGTCTTTGTAAATAAGATTTCTGTCATAGCCATTTGTGTACTTATTTCCTTATCTACCCTCTGTCTTTCAACTAAACTGTACTCTCCGTGGGGCATCCTATCAAGGAGCTGGTGTGCTATATAGAATTCTGAAGTACTAGTCACCTGGAAGTTAGGCAACAAATAGTTATAAACGAGTAAATGCAAGAACAGCCTGGAAAATGTGCTAGTAGATGCTCTAAATGAGCCGACGTACCACCTTTTTCAGTTAGGAGGGGCTAATGCAAATTAAGTGACAACCATTTGGCAGGGGAAAAAAAATCCGGACAAAGAAACAGAGCTAATGTATCAGCAGCAAGTCTCAGTGCACCCAAACCTTCCTCAAACCCAAGGGAATGTTTAGGATCACACCCCGAAGGCTCACAATGATGTGACGTCCAAATGCAAGACTGCTTCAAGGCCTGAGTCTGCTACCACCTACCTTTCCCAATACACCTACATCGGGGCAAGAGGACCTGACCGAGGGACTGGAGGAGCAGACTGGGAGGCAGTGGGGCCAAAATCACCTTGCTGAGAGCGTCTGGTGCAGCACAGAGGAAGAACAAAAGATCTCAAGTTCGAAGACCTGAGCAGGGCTGCGCGTGCGGCAGTCAATATGCCCTGCGCTTACCTGCGAGTGCACAGCTTTGTGCTGCTCCAGGCTCACCGCGTGCCCGAAGGTCTTGCCGCACATCTCGCAGGCAAAGGGTCTGGTGCCGCTGTGGGACCTGCGCACGTGGACCTCGAGCCCGTGCGGCGTGGAGAACACCTGAGACGGGTGGGGCCGGGGAGAAGGCCGCTGAGAGGGGCAGCCGGGAGCGGGCAGTGGCGGGACGTGGGCCGGGGACGCTGGCACCGGGCTGCCAAGGCTGGGCGCGCAGGAATCTCACCTTGCTGCACTTGATACACTTGTAGGAGCCGCCGCCCAGCAGAAGGCGGGTGCACAGCAACTCAGATTCCACCTTGACACCAGCACCCTTTTCAGCGTGTAGCTCGTGGCCGCGATCCGGGTACAGCCGGCCAGCCGCTGCCGTCGACCGCTCATACAGCCCGGCCGCAGCAGATCCAAAGTCGCCATAGAGCCCCAGGCCCACGCCACCGCCAGCGCCACCTCCTGTGCTGCAACTTCCTGGGGCTCCGGCCCCCGCGCCGCCTGCAGCCCTCTCTGGGCCGTAGAGCGCGGCCGGGTGGCCAGGCTCCGGTGTGCGCTCGCAGAAGAGACCGAGGCCGGGGCCGCGTTCCAGAGCTGTACAAGGCCGGTAGCTCTGCACCAGGTGCCGTAGGTCAGAACCCGTCAGGCCACTCCATGAGTACGGCTTGAAAGGCAGAGGGAAGGGTTGGGCTTCGTCCAGCGACTGACACATGGATTTCTCTGACGCTGTAGAGCACAGGAGGGTGTCAGGTCAGATTTAAGCAGGGAGGAGCCGGGTGCACCAAGCATTACCAGGCGCCCAACATTTGTAGAACAGTGCGTGTGCGGGTGCCACGCAAAGTTCCAGGGGCGCTCCGGGGTAAAACATAGCCAGGACACTGGGGCCTCGCGGGTCAGTGGCGGGGTAGCAAACTGATGGTTAAAATGACAGCAGATAGAAAGGTAAATTCTGTTGGAGGGCCTCGGAAGTCCTCGCCGTTGGCGGGATCCGAGCACCTGGAGGTCCCATAAAGGACAAGGCGCGTCTAGACACAAAGAGTTGAGCTGTGCGGGAGGAGAAAGCGCGGTTGTTTAGTCCCTGAACTTGGGCAAAAGGTCCAGACATCAGCGCCAACACTCTCCTAAGCCACTACATGTTCACAATCAATCGGTTTTCTTTCCCGGACCGATGATGCAGAAGGGAGAGGACCCGGAACTACTGAAGACGCATATGTCCGAAAAGACCTCAAGGTGTTAAGATCCTCAAAGTTAAGTGCCTAGTGTAGGTAGCAAAGAAATAGCGGGAAAGGGGTGCCGAATTCTCTCCAACCCTATTCCTATTATATTTTGATGGAGTGGCAGGGAGACGAATTTCTCAGAAAGGATGACTTTACAATTAAAAAGATTTAGTCAACATCTTCAGGATAAGCTTCCTGAATCCTGCTGCACCCTTCCACGTGAACTTGGCTAAAACTAGTAGATTTGTTCTCTTCCCTTCCACACCATCCCCTCTCTCTCTCTCACACACACACACACTCCAGTCCAGGCTGACCAATGTAGTGAAAAGCTGCAACCTGATTTTCAGACAGAAGGGTTCTGGAGGTGCCCTGTTCTCCATGGGGGGTGTCATACACAGCCAGAAAGACCCCTCCACTATTGGCTTTCCTCGCTGGAGCTGCAGGTCTGATCAAGTCAACTCACTGAGTGTGGGATTGGTGGAGATGATCTTTTAAAACTAATAAATATAATCTGGAAACAACTCGCCTTGGCAGAATTGGGCTGGTCTGCTCCTTCCTTACTCCTACCGTCCAGGACCCGAGCCCTGCCCCCACCCAACGTGCAGTCACCCGGGTGCAGGAAACTCTACTGCTTGCTGGAAATGAAACCCAGTAGGCTGGTCCCGAGGCTGGACCATATTAGCAGAACGAAAAATGAAAGAAGCCCCCAATCTGTGCCTGTGAAGACCGAGCAGGGAGCTGAGATTTTGTTCACCGACCCCTCTCTTCCACTTGGCGCCCAGCTCAGTCAGGCTGAGACTACCGGGTCTCCATTTGTGTGGGTTCCGGGATCTGGGATCATAATATCTTTAAACAAATCAATTCTGGTCAAAAAACAAAAAACAAAAAAACACCGCAACTAAACGTTGGAGTAGCCAGTGGAGATATCTGCTTTGTTTTCTCTCACCGGTCAGCTCCACGCAAACGAATGCAAACTACCTGCAGCCAGGGTTCCAAAGCCTTAAAAGTAGACAGCGGATTCGGGGTGGTGATGGGGCAAACTGTTTCAATCGCAGAACAGGCTGATGCTTCCCCCATTGGGACCCATCCCTCACGAATAAGTTCCCTCCTCAGGGTAAGACTCCGTTGCCATTTTTGCATTTCTGAGCCCAAGACCGCGCCAGTTCCCAGCTCAATGCTGGGTTTCCTGGCACCTACCACAGAATCTCCCAACGGGTTCCTACCTGGAGACACGGAGGGTGAAGGAGGCCTCCAAAAATCCTCAAACTCCGAGCTCCGGTCGCAGACGCTGCCCTCGCAGCTGTCCGGAGACGCAGAGGCTCTGTCCTGGGCCTCGATCAGTTGAGACTCAGGGGACAAACGGTCCCCGGGCTCCGCCTTCCCCTCTCCTGAACTCGAAATGCTGTCTGCGGAGAGGAATCAGGAGAGGAATTAGGCTGAGCCCGGACGAGCTTGCGGGTTCTGAAATGGTGCCCTGCAAGACGGTGGCACCCGAGCGTCCTCCTCTATCCACTCCGATCAGACCAGAAACCCTCTTGGATCCGAAAGCTGTCTCAGGAAGGTCCTGGCACCTAGACAAGCTCATGAGGAATCACAACAGGAGGAAACAAAAAAAGACAACAAGGCGGGTATTGGGGTCGCCTCCCCGGGTTCCCAAGAAATGATGAGGCAGGGTGCAAGGTTGGTGTCCCAGGGAGTTGCCCTGCCGGGTCCCGCGCGCCTCGCACCTGTTCGGCCTGGAGCTGGTACATTCTCCAAACGGGGGGAGTAGTCTGGTCCCGGGGAGCGTGGTTGGTGGTAGCTGTGAGCCTTCTTGCTCTTTACGAGAAAAGAGCGCGGCATGGTGGCCCAATGCTTTCCCCACTCCTTTCCAAATGTTCCTATAGCCTCCGTCAGCCCACAGTCACTCCAAGTGTTCCTTCAGCCCCAGCAGAGACCTGAGTTGAAGGGAAAATTGGGTGGAAACGCGAGTCAGCACCCTCCGAGGTTCGGGACTGGGTACCGAGGCAAAGGGAGAACGCTAGCCAGGGAGGAGCAAAGAAAGCCCGTGGGAGGAGGGGCCTGGCACCCCCCCCCCCATGCACAACGCTCACCAGGTGGCACTCGGACAGGTGGCGCGAGCCCTGTCCGCTCCCGGCACTGCCACAGCTCAGTGGTAAAACTTGTCCCAGGGCCCTGGCTCAGGCCCCTTTCCTCTGCTCTGCCCACGCCCCCGGCCCCTCCCCTTCCTTACTAAAGCTCGCTAGTGCAAACTCTCTGGAGAGCCATAGTTCCCAACCAGTCCGTTACTCCAACTCGACCACCCACTGCCTGCCTAGTTGGACCGGGAGAGCTGGAACACGCGGGTCAGTAAGGGCCGAGGATGAGTCAGTGGTCGAGGACCCGGAAGAGGCCAAGACTTCCAAGAGCCCACTGCAAACTGAAGTGAAAGAGGGGCAGAAACGGGGTGCCCTGGGCTGGACTGAAAGACAGGGTTGGGAGGGGGACAGCAATAGGACTACTGCGGGCAACTGAGGCCAGAGAAGGGAGGCGGGAGGGCAAAGGGAAAGGAAGGTGACGCGGTGGTGGAGGGGGGTGAATGCAAAGGGTCAACCTCTGCCCCGGGAGAAACTAGCATCCGGTGATCTTGCTCGCTACTCACTCTCGCCCCACACAGGGAAAAGTTTGTCTCCAAGTTGAGGGTGCGGTGGTCATCAGCCACGGCTGCAACCGTCACAAGTCACCATAGACAATGGAGGCCTAACCTCGAAAACCAGGTCCTGGGAAATAGCACTTTCCGTTCTGCTCCCCCAAAATCTTGTCCTAGTGATGTCGAGACCAACCTGGGCGTGCTGAATGGGAACCGCGCGGCGTCCTAAGTTCATGGAGCACCGATGGCTTAACGGACAAGAAAGACAACTGAGCGTGCCGGCTGTGCTGGCCGTGGACAGAAAACGAGGGTCCGGGAGCCAGCGCAGTAGGGAGCTAGCTGTCTGCTGCGTCGCTCTCATTAAACCCCAATCAGTTCACCTAATCTCGGGTCGAAACCGGAGCCCGGCGGGGAGGCGGGGCGGCGACTCCAGCCTGGCTAGCGGCGGGCTCCGGGGGCGGAACCCCGCGACCAAGGAGTCTGGGGTAAACGAATCTGTCTTCCTTTCTCTGCGAAGGCGATGGGGGTCGGGTTCTCAAGACAGCTGTAACCTTTACGGGCAGAGCCGCAATGGCAAGCCTCATCAAGTTCAGAAACCAGGGCTCTGGGGACTCCATGCCGGGGCAGAACTCCTTGTGCTAGGGCTTTGCGCGGTTGAGACTGCGGGACTCGCAGCCGTTGCGTTCCCGGGCAAGATGCAGGTCACTAGGACTGTTGGTACTTCTCTACGCAGAATGAGTCCTAGAGAACTCGGTCCCTGGCAGTGCACTCACCCCACTCCAGATCCTCTGCCCTACTATGCTCCCTTCCCCAGAAGAGTGAGAATACGCCTAGGAGAAATAAGTCTGGAACTTGACGCGGGAATCCCATTGACGTTTCCCGCGATCTAAGCGTCAGAATGCCTAAAGGGGTGAGGGTGCTGTCTCCCTCCATTTGGGATGGCTCCCTGGGCAGGGGCAGTGCAGCTTCAGTTTTTCCTGCACAATGTGCTCGTACAATTAGATGCCACAAACGCCAAAATAGATAGATAGATAGATAGATAATTTTAAAATATCTAAAAAACAAAAACATGAAACTTGGAGGAAAGGAAAACAGGGCGAAGTCGTCCCGTCCCGAGGGCCTGCCTGTGGCTTGGCCAGAAGCAGGACCGGTGGGGAGCAGAAGTGATGTCTGCTCCCGCGCTGGATCTGGCACAAGGTAGACACAGAGGAGGCCTCCTCACCCGGACCACAAACTCGCGCCTCTCTCGCACCCTAGCTAGTTTGCTAGTTGTGGGGGTGGGCGTGAAGGGGAGGTGGATTCGGGTAGGAGGGAGTAGGGCGAAGAGGTGAATGCGTGGGAACACAACCTCAGGCTGCAGCTGGAGGCCAGGGGCGGGGCGGGTCCCTCAGCTCACGCCGGCTCGCCGGGCCTCTCTTTCCAGTCAAGGACCGGGAAGGCGGGAGCTGAAGAGGGCTAATCCAGCGGCCTCCCGAGACCAGCTGTCGCTGTCTTCCCACCTGATGTTTCCTTCCCGGGGGGGGGGGGCGGGGGGGGAGATCCCACTCCGCCGACCAACCACCAAACCTCTGGCGCTCGCCCCTCTACTCCAAATTCCCAGCCCCACTACCCTGGTGGCGCCCGAACTCAGCAGCAGGAGCTCTGGCAACTCCCACACAGTGCCGGCAGCAGGTGGGAACCCGCCAGCGCCCTCTGGTCGCCCCCGCAGTATCAGTGCCCTGCCAGTCTTTGTGGCCACCCCCACCAGGGCAGGAGGCGCAGAAGAGGTACAGCAAACCTACCTGCGGGGTCAGGGCGCGGACACAAGAGTTTTCAAACTGAATCTTGCTTTCGGGAGAGACCTTTCTGTCTCTTTCTCTCTCTCTCTTTTTTTAATCTCCTTCTGAGCTCAGCCCCCAAAACCACAAGCTTCACTTCCTGAGCGTTACAGAGTAGCTCGCTAGCCCTCTCAGACCTATCCCCCAACCCCTAGTTGGGCGGAGGGGCGCGCTCCTCCTTTGAACAAGTGGTCCCGAGGAGGCCTAAGGACCTGATTTTTCTAGCCCGCTTCCTGGACGCCCTTTCGCGGACCTCCCCATTCCCCCTCCCCTCTGTGGACCAGCGGGGGATGGAGGAACACAGAGGTCCCGTCACCCAGGCACTAGAAATGACTAGAAAGAAAATTGAACTATTCTTGGCTCCTGGGAGACTTCCGCAGCGAGAAGTCACAGATTCGATTCAGGACACAGATTGCCTGGAGCGGCGGGAGCCGGGGGTGCTCCGCTCGGAGGAGGCCTTCCTGCTCCTTTGGCCGTGGGCACCCCCCCAACCCCACGGTCTGCTTGGGCTGCACGCCCCCCCCTCCCCGGAATCCGGCATGAATCACTGGCGCGTGGAGCCGCCGGCCTGGAGCCCAGCGAGTGGCCACGGCGTCCGCAGAGCGAAACCTGCCTCGGGGCCCCGAAATAGCTTGTTGTGGAAACACTTCGGGATAAATACGCCCAACGAGGCTGAAAATACCTTGACACCCAATCCGAGAGGTTTGCTCATTTCCCTTCGGATTTAGGTAATGGTTAAATTTGGAAGAGGTGGGCGAGCGCCGAGCCCCCGGCGGAGAGGGCCCTGGCGGCGCGTCCCGCGGGCGCCCGGCGGGACCGGTGGGCGCGCCTTCCCAGAGCCGAGCTCACTAGGCACTCCGCCGGGTCTGCTCAGCCTTTTGCTAATTTCCGGTGGTCGGAGCTGCGAAATTAAAGGCCACCCGGGAGGGAGCGCGCGGGGGCAGCGAGGACCGCTGCTAGGCTCACCCCGCCCTGCTTGGCCAAGGCTAGGACAGCAGACCACGAGCGCGGGTTCCGCCACCTCCTGAGGCTGTACCCCAGCACCTGTCCTTTGGGGAGCAGTGAAGCGCCATAATAGCACAACCCTAATGATTATTGAAAAGTAAACTTTTCGCTTGGATTGTTTCCTGAGTGTAGGCACTGGATGATCATCATGTCCATGGTAGGCTAACGAATGTCTAGACTAAGTAAATAAATGCGTGGAATGAATTAGTTCTATTAATAGAACAGGGGACAAAAACCCCTCAAAACTTCACCCATAACCAAATTAACAAATACAGCGATCTTCAGCGCCCAGTGTTTGTGGAGATACATAGTGTGTGGCCTATTGTGTATATTCAAAGCCTCCATACAGCCTTTCCTGATATGGGTGGATATTATTGTGATCACGTTACTTTTCTAAGTGAATTGAGTTGGATTTTCATCATTATTTCATGCACAACAATTCTCCAATATCAAACACTGAAGGAAGGGGGCGATGCACCCAGTTCTTGCAAAATAACCACCATATTTTGTTTTGTTTTGTTGGTGCTGAGTATTGAACCCAGGGCCTTGCACTTGCTCAGTAACCACTGAACTACACCCTCAACCCCATGGCGTTTTTGACCAGTCCAAAATTATTATGAGACCAAAAAGCCCTTAAAGCCCTTCTCTATAAAATCATCTTAAATGATTTTTATTTTGCATTGTAAACATTAAAACTAGTGGAAAATATTTAGTTATCATTGTGGTGCTCCAAGCAGGTTTTAATAAGTTAGACATTTTGTTCACAATGGCCTGTGCCTCTACTGTATGACAAGAGGCATATCTAATTACTTAACTATTCTCCTTGCATTGTTTACTTGCTCAACATACTCTTACTTTATAGATAAATGCAGAAGTAAGCCATCTCAGTCAGAAGAATCACGAATACCCAATCAGCTGAATAGAAATTAAGCTCATTCTATTTGTTTTATTTCTTATATGCTTTGCCCTGGCCTGAAGTGTAAAAGTCTCAAAGTAGTACCAAAACAAATCTTTGCCTTCCATCCTGTTCAACAGAAGAAAAGAAGCAGAGATTTAATAAATGATAAATAAGATGAAATAAAATTTCTTATTAATCAATTTATAGGGATTTGTTTGCATATTAGCAAGTTCAAAGTCAAAATTTCTTGACAAGGTGCTGTTTAACTATTTTGTAGTTTAGTGAGGGCTGTTTTTTTTAAACCTTTATTTATTTATTTATTTATTTATTTATTTATTTATTTATTTATTTATTTATTTATTTTTATGTGGTTCTGAGGCTCGAACCCAGAACCTAGAACCTAGGCGAATGCTCTACCAGCGAGTCACAACCCCAGCCCCCTTGAGTGCTGCTTTTTAAAGTCTCAGAAAATTTGGGGGAAGCTATGAAAGGAGCAAACCAGCACCTTAAGTAGTGTCAGCTTAGAGTAAATCCCTTTCATTTAGATTAAATTGGGTCAACTTGCTTTCTTTTGCCTTAAAGAGCCTCTTGGGATTTTTCTGGGTTTGCAAAATAAAACTGAGAACTGAGACAGGGATACTCAGACAGGAGCAGGTGGGAGGCAGATGACACTGAATCCCCCTTTCTATCTTTTACATTTTGAATCATGTGGATCCATAACTAATTTGAATAAATAAATATACATAAAAATATTTAATTTGAGGTCAGAACATCTCTTATATACATAGTATTGAATTGTGAT